TGGTATTTCGTTAACACGTGTGCGTAGACATGTACATGATACTCTTTCACCACACTAGCTATCACTCACCCACCCTGCATTTGCAGGCTACAATGCCGCACAATTACCAGTGCAAAACCATGTCACAGTGGTGATTGTGCGGCATTGTGGCCTTCTTCGGGTCCCAGCCCCCGTCCTTCTGGGACGATGGAATCGACAAGCTGCCTGAGCGTTGGCGTCGAGTAGTGGATGGTGATGGTGCATACCTCTAATCTTCAGGCTGGTTCGCTATTGAGATATTTACGAAAAAGTCGGGGAAAAAAACTTATGCAACAACCTAATATATTGCCATCTGTTCGAAATGCGTTTTTGTTTTCGGAATAATTAACTACTCACGGACGAAGAAACTTCTGCCTAGGATGAAGTTGTGATCAATGACTTTCGAAGAGTGGACCGAGCCGTAAACGGGAAATACCATCATTGATTTTTTTCATTTATCTAATCGCGCCAACTGTTCCGTCGCAAAATGTGAATCCAACCCTAGGACTTTGAAAAGCGCAGTTTTTGGGTTACGATATACAGCCGGCGTATGTGATCAATACAGATGTCTATAGATGACTTCTTCCATTCGACTTCACTGTATGTAACTTAATTCCCTAAGATTCCTATGATTGTCATGAATCACTCGAATCATTTTATTTTAGGGTTTCACGATATGAGGAAATGCTTCGGCCGAAAAATTACCTCCTGAAATGTATGGATCACGTTAAAATCAGGTGAAGTGGAACGTGAAAAGTGTTTGCCCGAGACAGTTTTAGTGGATACTGCTGTTTCACACAAACGTCGAAGAACAAGACCTTAACCTGTTTTCGGTACGCCTTTATCAAGTTATGAGAACCTCTGCCGTTTTCTTTGTTCCATCTCAATACATTTTGTAATTTTTTTCTCAGATTGTTTTAAAGCAAATTATTTTTGTTTGTGTTGTGTTGTGTGCCTCTGAGAGATAAGAGTAGAATATTAGTACACGATTGTTGTAAACAGTCGATGTTACACTCATTTCTGATATGGGTACAGTAGCTTTAAGCTGTAACGTGTAAACCAGTTGTTTAATATGTTGGTGCTTATATAGGATTTTAGCCTTATGCCTTGTCATCTTTTTTTCCCTGTGATTTCTCCCCTAATATTAGTATAAGGCATCAGTTCTACCAAAGCCAGCATTTCTTTTCTGAGTAATAAATTGTTCTTACTTGTTGTTGTTGGAAATGGATTGATAGCGGTTCTTTCCGAATTGACTGCAATTACCTAAATTTTTCTTTGCATTCCATTTAAAACCACTTACAGGCGGGCTGCCTAAAAATAAAGACCCTTTGAAGTAAATGAGATGGACAAAACAAAAAACTGCAGCAATAACCTTGGGGGAGGGGAATCATTTGAAGGGATGCTTGCTCAAAATTGAGTACCATAAAACAGATGAGGGATTTTGCGTGGACCTTAGGAGCGAGGTATCTCTGGAGTGGTAGAATCATTTTAGAGTGAAGTTATCCTATTCGGATGACACAGTAATCCTAGTTGGCCCAAGTAGGTCCTATGCCCCTACCAAGGCTATGAGCGCTGAAATTGGTTTGGATGGTGTTCCGATAATTTGTTTGTGAGCTTAATTGATTTTCGACTCGTAATTTTGATAAAACAGAAGTTAAGCCGAGGTCATGTGGGATTGGCAAAGTTTCTTCGTGAAAATCGGTATCCCGACCAGTATTGCATCTCGTTATGCAGAAATCTTCAGACAAAACAGGTAGTATAGGTTTTCTATATGCTTGTCTACAGATTGTTGTGGCGTTTCACTTATAATTTTAATTCAGAGTGTCAAAGGATATGCTTCCCGACCTTGACAAGGCTACGTTAGCTGATCTGGGTGTGACAGCAGTTGGAGACCAAGTGGGTTTGACCAACTTTCTGTGCCGTAGTCTTTTGAAATTTGCATTTCACTTGAATTGCCATCATACTTCGCGATTTGGTCGTGCTGATCGCGCGTGCCATTTAATCGCTCTGACCGCACAAGCAAAACCGCGGCGCTTCTCCGTTGGTCGGTAGAGTGCCCCTAGCCTTGGTCGCGCATTCAGGGCCACTGCTTGCACCATCGAGTCGCGAAGTATGAGCAATTTTTATCATATGGAACGTTTGCATGTTGTTTCTGATCCATTAACTATGTGAAATATCGTATTTCAGTTGGCGATTTTGAAGCATGCAAAGGATCATGCCTACGAGCTGGAACCTGATTCGCCGGAAAAACTTCGTGTTCATATCCCTGGGCCTAAAGCAGGTGAGTATTCCTTTTGTGCTGTTTCAGCGATGCGTTGTTATCTCTTCTCTACATTTCCCTCACTCGATCATGAATGTTCAAAAAGCGACTGTAGTTTTGAATGTAAGTCCAACGCGTGCCGCATCCCAAACAAGCATTAACAGCTTTATCGTTTTATTGGCTTACTATCTGCTTCTGCGATTCTGCTTGGAGACTCACGTCTCTTCTTTATGTGACTATAAGCGGAATTATCAGAGATCTCTTCCATCTGTCTTTTATGTCCTGATGTATCAGAACTGTTACCCCTTTTACTCCATCGCTCATTGCTTATGGTAACAAAGGTGTCGTTGCCATACTTGCAGTCTTGCTCGCTGATAGGGTGTGTCAGTGAGGCAGGGATTGGCGCGCCGCCAGCCCGTCCTGCCGCCAGTTTTTGAATCAGTCGCAAAAGGTGAACAGTCTATCCATGGTACAGGTATGTTCGCTGAAAAAGAAGAACGGGCTGGCGTCGTGCCGGACTCATCCCATCCCCACTCGACACTCCCCATAATCCGCAGCAAACAAGACTGGATATGAACGGATGCTCACGTTAAGTTCGAAGTTCGTCCAAGGCTGCGTTTATACTCTGCGACTTGGCGTCTTGGAAGAAGCGAAGAGGATGGTTTAATTATCAAAGGCGGCCACTCACTAGCACTGTGGACGAATGGCGTCCTGGCTGAACAGCTTTTCGAGCGAATCAGTCTTTTGAGCGGATCGTCCTTGCGATTCTGGGTTTTTCGATTCGATTTTGGGCACGTTAGTAAGTGAGCATAAAATCATTCGCTGAAAACGTTGATTCTTTCAGAACGCCGTTTCATTCAAAATGCAGAGTGTCCCAAAAGAGTCGCAAAGTATCAGCGCGGTCTGAATTGTTGTATTTGCTTCAGAAAAATCGCTGAATGGATCTACATCTACCGACCAGCGCAAAGGGAGACCGCCTCCGGATCGCCACGAGATTTATCACGTCAAAATGCCTGAGGGTAGTACTGCTCGTACGAAGCAAATCATGCAAAACGCGAGCATGATGCGAAAGCATGGTTTGTCACTCCTATTTATCACACCCGGCTCAGATTCCGAGTGTGTTCACTTTCTTCTTTTTTGTATCGCTTGGTGCAGGGATTGTGGCACTAGCTCATTTCAGTGCTAGTCTAGCGACCAGTTGAATTAGACCTACTGGATATGATTATATCGCCTTTCCCTATTTTGTTTTGCATTCGTGAAACTCATAGATTTCGAGATTTTATGCTTGATTAATTTTTTCTCTTGTTGACTCTTAGACTGCGTTCGTGGTCAGCATTTTGAGGTACGGCAGCGTTTCGAGTTTGAGCCAGCGTTGCGAGCGTTTTGAGCGACTAAAGTAAATCTTTCGATCTAGAGTTCGCTAACATATGGCAGCGAACAACAGCGTTTTGAGTTTTGAGGAGCGAAAGCGTTTTCACCGACTACGTGCGAAACGTTCAAAACACTGGCGTACGCTATAATCTCCAGATCGAATCTATACTTTCCTAGTCGCCCAGAACGCTGGCGTACATTCAAAACGCTAACGCAAGGCGCAAACCGGCACTTATCTTCATATGCCATCGCTATCGAGTTTGATATCCCCCCCCCACAAAGACAAGAAAACTATCCAAAATCGTAATCCCATGGTTCTTTCAAAAAGTACTGCTAATGAGTCAGACGTACATCTACAAGACTGCTGGCCATCATATTCACTAACCTCAAAGTTGGTTTGCATAGTTCCCATGAGAATTGATAGCTATTTAGGATTGGTCGTTCGTGGCACAACCGGCGTAAGGCAAGGCGGTCGATCCGTGAGCCCAGTTGATAAAAGAAGCGCGGCTGTGATCCGAATGCGTCAAGAACGTGAGTCATTTAAAGTATTAGGTCATCCCATTCAAACTGGCCGCTACATATAGAGGAATGGCAGAAAAGCAAAGGGGATAGAGCAGCGGGCTACTATACCATTTGGAAGCTAGTACCTTAAGCTGTGTATCTGTGAAATTTGGCGAACCTAGCCCCAGAAGAAGTTCTCGAGAAATTGAAAAGAAGCCCGAGTGGTGAAAATCGGCGCCGGTTTTTCAAATCAGACGTCATAAGAGGAAAGTGCGCTGCTCAAATTTGACCTGCGCCGGACCATAGTTGTGTGTAAGGGTGTTCTCGAAATACACGGTGGAAGATTTGGTTCAGGAGCCCGTACAAGGAAGAAAGGAAAAAATTTGTTGTCGTGGATGGTCCCATAATATTCATCCTGCACAAGAAAAACGGGTGGATGAAGTCAGGCACTGAATATCTGATCACAGAGCCTGGACCTTTGTCGGGTTTCCCCGCGAGACTGACATCCCTGCTGCAATTACTGTACGTGTTATGACCGATAAACTGAGGATGGTCAAGGGGGTGTGCGCATGGGTACCCAATTTTTCTTATAGAAGCACGAACGCAGTACCGATTCTATACCTCTAGCAGTAATGTTCTCAGCATGAGATGTCACTCACAACTGTGAAAACGCACCCAGGCCTTAGATGAAATATGGGTGGTCTCGGACCTCGAGCCGAAACTCACAATCGTCAATTTTGTATGAATGCAGATGAGAAGCCGCCCGAGTTCTACCATGAAGAGTTACGTGGATGATCATCATAGCAAAGGATTCCCACACTGTGGCTTTCAAGCGGCTCTATACAGAGAACAAATCCGTCACTGTCGGTGCATATTGCCTGTTCCTCGGCATTCAGATCGACAAATGGATGCTACCACACAACTACAAGAAGGCCACCGTTGCTCGTCATAGTACCAGACCCGAGTAACTGTATTGTAGATCAGTGCTGGGACACAAACAATACTGAGACCTGGGTTCAATCGCCCCATTCGCCCGTCATAAAGCCATGCGATTACAACTGTTCTATTCAGTTGAGAGTACTCTCCGACGGCAGACGCTACAATGTTTTGTCATTTGCCGAAATTGGCAACAACAGCAATTTACCCACACTTGTTGAAAAATCGAAGGTACCAGAGGTCCAAAGGCCCTCGGGGCACTGGGAGCGGGTCATTGGTGAAGGAGGGATTTACTCATCCTAAAGCTAAAATATCACTTTTCTATCTATTCTCCTCTTTGTTTTATTCAAAAAAAACCAGCGGCCAGTTTGAATGGGATGACCTAATATTTTGATTTTAATCGCTATATAGATGTAGTTTCTGAATTTATTATTTCACACGGATCAGTACAGGTGGAAAAGTAACATTTTCTTCGTTAGCGAAGAGTTAAAAGCACCTGTATCACCTTCCTCTGCTAGTTTTACTTGCTGATGCAATGCCTTCTCCCGTCAGTCAAGTTCGTCCACTTTAGATGGAGACCTGGGTATATGGATAGAGTCTATAAGGTTATTTACAAATATAGATAGCAAAACTGCAACCTGCATTTCACAAGCAACTTATGAGCAGGTAAAGTTTGTAATGGTGCAGTAGGGTGGAGGCTTGGTGGTGAGCTGTGAAGCATAAGCGAGGAATCGCATACGTCGAATCGAGTCGTGGTGGTTCAGTGGTAAGGTTCGACGTTCGACGACTCGATTCGACGTATGCGATTCCTCGCTTATGCTTCACAGCTCACCACCAAGCCTCCACCCTACTGCACCATTACAAACTTTACCTGCTCATAAGTTGCTTGTGAAATGCAGGTTGCAGTTTTGCTATCTATATTTGTAAATAACCTTATAGACTATCGATCTACCCAGGTCTCCATTCAAAGTTCCATGGTAACTTGGACGGGCTTCCCTGATCAGCAATAACATATAGGGTTTTTAACCATACGGCCGGTGTTATGCCATCATTTCTTCAATTTTTCACGTCGATGATTGACAGTTTCATCTGTGTCATCAATTCAGTATGAGATATATGTCTTTTTTTATGGAAATGAATCATATGAAACGCCGCAGAAGATGTAAAATTTGGCATGCATGTCACGCATTCAGAAATCTGATAATGCGCCCTTGCAGCGATGACCACAAACTAGCTAGTACTCTAGCTGCTTCACGCTGCACATTATAACAGATCCATATACGGAGGTGGAGCGCCAAAGGAGTTGAGTGGGTGCGATCAATCCTGGAATGACTGACTTATTGGGAGAATAGCAGAGTAGGAGCATCCGAGGACAGGGGTCAATCATTTCCACCTAACATTTCACGCGCGTTTCCCCCGAGTTGTTCCCTTCCACTGTTCGCAAGACTTATACTTTCTTTGACACGCATTCTCCTATTCTCTCATCCTGCAGTCTAGTAGGCCAGAATTAATGTAAAGTGTTGCACCCTTGACTCGTCTTTGAGATCTCGTCCTACCGCTGCTATTTAGACCCGTGAGCCACAAGATAGCGTTCCTGAGGGCGAGTATGCAGCTTATGGTTGCTCTTACCACTTAGCTATTTTTTCTCCTTGATCAAAACCATCATTTGTCGTCTTTTTTATTGTTTAGAGAAAGAAAATGTTCCCGAATCACTCTCGAAAATTTAACTGAATATCTGTTCCACCCGTTAATCTTTGTTCTTTGTTAACTATCATTAAAGCTGCCAGTTATTCGTAATCATAATGACCTGTTCCCTGGTTTACAACTACACTAAAGCCAGGACTATGGACTTGACAGCTATCGCCTTTTTTTAGGAGAGCTGTCGAAGGCGAATGATCCCATAATAACACGTTTGGGTGTTCGAGGACTACATTCAGATGAAGCTGCTTCGCGGCCGATTGGCGGAAGAGTGCAGAAACGCAGGTGATCAATTACTCTATTCAGTGCATTTTATTTCGTATACTGCTTCTTTTGCATTTTCGTACTACTTCCGTTTGCAAATTTATCTATTTACAAAATTTATCGCCCCTTTAGTGTGCAAAGAGCTGCTGAGACTTCACGCTCATATGATATGCCAGAAATTGGTGATGATCTAGCGATAAGAGTTCAAATTCCCTCGGGAAATAGAGTGGAAAGGAGGGTAGCTGGTCAGGTGAGTGGTGCATTGCTTGATGAAACTCACTGAGTTTATTAGAAAATCATTGCTCTTTTTGATGAATGTCCCATTCAGTCCCAATGAATAAGTATATGACATGTCAGATGCATTGATTGCGAGGGCGCAGAAGGTTTGTCGACGGGGGGGGGGCATTCTGCTTTCCATAGATGTGCCGACCCATCTAGGTAGCCTTTTCTCGAGTTGACACGTTTTAGGATGGTGGCTAGACGATCTTGCACCAGCTTCAGCTTCACAAGAGTTCACAAGTTTTACCAGGGTGAGATTTGTAAACCGGAACTAGGGAAGCAATGGTAGTACAAAATGCCCCCCCCGTCGACAAACAGCGCCGATTGCGAGCATTTTTTGGACGCATGGCTACATTATATTTTTCAGTTTTTTTTTGTTAGTTCGGCGCTAGTGGCCTTGATGCGGGGGGGGGGTTGTGGCGCTAACGTAGGTGGGCTGGGGGCTGGGGCAACACTTGCCAGCCAGCGCCCAAGACCTAATGTTGTATTCATGATCAGGGCAGTGGGTTATCTCTATAGGCAGGAGTTCTGCAAAAAAAAATGTGCTCTCGGGGTAGCAGCAGTTCAACAGAGTCAAAACTTCTGATTTGTTGAATCAGAAGTCTGTCATCTTGGAACGAAATCTTGATTGTGTTTTCATACGATTGTGCTTTGCCAAGGTCGTCAGATGTTGATCTTTTCTTGGGCCAACACTTCGATTTCCAATGTTTTCGACGGTCTTATGGTTGAATCACGTCGCTGTACTACAGCGCCATACTCAGTAGCGAAAGTTATTTTCAAAATAATATATTAAACGACAAGTTCCACTAGTGTCGCCACAAAGTGATTGTCACCTCTGACTCAACTTCCATACTTCAGGCAAGACCACGAATGACAACTTCGATAGCGAATCGTATTTCGCGTAACGGTGGAAATGCCATCCCTCGTGTGACAGTGAAGTTACGAGGTGCTCCTCCAACTGATAGACCAGTTGTGAGAAGAGCCTTGCATAAGCCTGTTCATGCAAGGCTGTCCACGTTAGCAGGTGGCGGGAAAGCGGCTAGAACGTCTCGATCAGCTCCGATAAGGGTCAGTCAGTCTTTTTTTGTTTTTATCTCATACTGGCATAGATGTAATGCCTTTTTTTCTTGAATATTTGAGGTGGTAACTTTCAGTACGCGACTTGCATTTCGCGATCCCACTCTACGAAATTAAGCGGACGTAGCAATCAGGGTTTCTTTTGACCACGGGATCAAACCCCCAAATCGCTCCGGCCCATTTCAGCCAAGCCTGCTACCCTCCGGGACGCCGTCTTGTATATCAGCCAGCCTCCGCGACTCTGTATAATAGCCAATTGATATGCCACTGTGCTTTGGATAAGAGCAGATGTGTGCCGCATTCCAGAAAGTGCTTGAATCAGCTGCAAAATCTTCAGTCTTCAGCCCTCTTTTCCTTCGAGACTCACTCGATTTTTATCGAGGGTTTGTCATGCGATTAGATTTGGCCTGCAACATAACCCCGGGGTAATGTCGTTCTAAGGACACGCCCAAGGGAGCTTGAGATGCGTGATGAGAAGGTGAAGCTATGCCCAATGGCAATTTGCCCGCGAGTTTTGTGCTTTGATCTGTTTTGGTATGGCTGCGTTCATGCTTTGCCGCAGCGCCCACCAGCGTCCACTAGTGTTCACCAGCGTCCAAGAGTACTGTACTGTGTACCAATACGGTGCTGTTGCAGACTACTTCACGCCAACTAATCCGGGTGCCTCCACCCTCCAGCTTCGCTCAACCAGCAGTGGGCTACCCTCCTAATTCCCCATGCTCTGTACTCTAGTCCCTGGTGGACGCTAGTAGACGCTTTCGCTGGATTGATGTGTAAACTTTCGGAGTCGCTGGCGCAGACAGACGCTCAATGGTTGCTGGTGGACGCTGCCGCAGAGTATGAACGCGGCCTAACGGCATCTGTGAACAGAACACCTTTTTTTTCACTGATATGTTGTTTGTGTTCGGGGAGACCCCCCGAAGTCAAACTTCTCACCCATTTATGTTCCCATGGGCAGATTTCGATGGTAATCCAGCTTAGCTGCGAAGCGAGAGGTCGTGAAGTTCACCGTGACAATTCTGATGTAGCGGCCGAATAAGTAAGTGCGAACGTTCAATAAAATGTTTGTCTTCTGCAGAGACCCATTGTACAACAAGAATACGTGGTGGATGAGGATGAGTTAACAGCAGAAGAGGAAGAGTATATAGATGAAGATATGGTTTGGGAGGACGAAGAGGAAGTAGACGAAGAGGAAGATCAATATGAAGAGGAGGTTGAGTACATGGATGGTCGTCCAAGCGTCTATCATCGATTATCAAGGTAGTTCGTAAGTCTCCTTGACGATACCACTACCAGGTGTACTGCTGAAAGTTCGTTAATCTTCTTAGGGTCACACCTTATTAATGTCAGTAAAATCAATTGAAATCGTGCTGTGTTCTGTTTGGACAAGATCCCGCAGTGAAGTGCAACAATTACAATTACAAATTGTGGATATACATTGTTTTAGCGTAATCTCTTTTTGACTTCTCTCTGTGAAAGTGACTGTGAGTTGTTGTTTTCTATTAGGGTGCCGTATACAGGGTACATCATAGTGATGTGTGAAATGGTGGTGTCAGTACGACCCCCCCCCCACCCGAAGGTGGGTCTCAGTACGACTGAAGTACGAACCTACCTACCTTTTTCCTATAAGTTCCCAGCTTCCTAAAAGTTTTTCCCGAAATCCCACGTTTTGCAGTTTTTCACCCAAAAGTTTCCGGTCCAACCGTTTGAGGGGGGGGGGGGGGCGGGGGTAAACAGTACATGTGAAACGGGATAAACCGCGGAAAGTTATGAATCAGGAAAATTTTTTCCCCTCTCCCAACAACGACCAAATACCCCCTCCCCCTCTTAACGGTCAAGTGCGACCCCCCCCCCATGTGTTTCAGACAACGATGCTGTACCCTGGCCGTATAAGGGTCGTCATGGTCGGGTTAGGGGGTGTACAGCGCGCTCACAGGAAAAATGCTAAAAAAGCTGACAGTCGAAAATATTCCCCTCAGAAGCAAATGCCCTCCTCCTAGCGACCATGTACGACCCCCGACTGGAGTTCCCTTGCGCACGACGTGCCCTGATTGTAAGCCCCACTCTTGCTGACCTTCCACGAATGATTCAGTTATGATTCCCAAAGGTGCAGGAACTTTGGAATCTTATGCGGTACCCTAAAATGTAGCATTGAAACTACTCAAATTCATGTCTATGTCCAACAATTTTTCCTCTCGTTCTAAATTATTCTTTGTTGATCGTTTGTAAGAATAAAATGTTGTGCTGCTCAGTATATCCTACACTTTTAGACATTTTTAGGCAAGGTGTAAACATGCACTTGTAGAGATAGTATTTTCTTCTCAAGAGCTTTTCTTACTCCTTGTAGGAGTGAACAGAATTCGTCTCTGGTATTATAGTTTGATCCTCTGAACACTAACTATATCCACTTGTTTTTTGAAGGCACGCTCCGCATTCATGTAATGTTTAGACGTTTTCTTTGGACATGATAGTCCGAGCCTAGAGTGTGTACTTCTTTCGCAGTTTAAAAATTGAGTGGAAGGCTCGGCCCGCTCGCGACGAAGCCATTGCGCCGCCCACTTGGTCACCGCAACGCCCAGCCTTATTCCTTGAATCTTCCTAGTTATGCTTTGGTTCCACTGTTAAATCTCCATTTCGAATGGTAAGAGTGGGATGATGAGGAAAAAGAGCTGATGCCATCAAGAGAGAACTCCGAGGAGTCCGATTACGCCCTTTCTTCGCTCTACATTCCGCACGTACATTCGCGGTTCAGCGTGGGGTTCTATACTTCTATGAACCGGACGGCGTGGACACTATTTTCTGCTTCTTTTTTTGTGTTATTAATATCTAGGCATTAGTTTTTGACCCAAACAACTCATCATTTTTGAACGCGCGATGCGCCGTTAACTCTGTATGTGCACTGCAAACTCCGTCGTCGAAACTGTACATCAACTTTAGCGCATTTGTGATGATGGATGTTATACTTTATGCGGAATTCTCTTCAAGGGGCCAGACGATTACAGGACAAAGGCTTGGCCAAGTCAATCCTTGGAGGAATTCAGGGCGTGGCCTGTGTAAGCGACGAGAACCCAGATGTCACGAAAAACGTTAGTGAGATTTTCAGTCACCTCCAGTTGAATTGGCAAATTTCAGAGGTGCGCAGACGCCGCCGCATCCACGATCCAATCCGTGCACACGCCTTCAAATGATGTGATATGGCTGTATCCATTAAGAAAAGAAAGCAGGCGCGAACGTCATTGATTGTCATCTTCGAGCAACTGGCAATGTCAGTGGTGACAAGGTGTCAGTCAGTCTAGACGAAAATACTCGGCCAATTGTTGAAGATATCGCAAAGAGGTGTAAATTGCGTAGCGCTACTCCATGCTCAGTACCTATACAACGTTACAGTGAACGCATAGGAAGCGATTTTTACCGAATGTCTGGAGACTTCAGCCTTGAAGATGAACTTCGTAGCGGTCGACCTAAAGCAATACCTGGCGTTTGCGGAGGCTGACCCATTCCAAACACTTCGAGAGAATTGCAGAAAAGTTAGCGTTGCGCAAATCCACTGCGGATGGTCTGAAACGCATTGGGAAGGTGAAAAACTCGACAAATGGGTGCCCACAATTTGAGTGACCGGCAGAAATCGGCACGTCTCGAAGTTTCTTTCTTCACTGCTTTGCCGCATTAGAAACGACCCCGTTTTTGCCGAGCCGAATTTCACCTGTGATGAAAAATGGGTCATGTATGATAACAGGAGACGTTCCGGACAGTGGCTGGATTTCGACGAACCACCGAGGTGAATTTTCAAAGCCGAATCCTCACGAGGTCACAGTGTGGTGGTCATCGGCTGGTGAGATCACTATAACTTTTTGTCACCAGGCCAAACCATCACAGCAGAGTCGTGCTGTGAAGAAGTCGACGAAATGTACCGAAAATTGCGTCAGCTGCAGCCAACACTTGTCAACAGAAAGGGTCCGATTCTTTCGCATGACAACGCCCGCCCACACGTTTCACAAATCACTATCCATAAATTGAACGAATTGGGGGTTGATGTTCTATTACCTCATCCGCCATACATCCCAGACCTTTCACCAACCGACTATCACCTTTTCAAACATTTTCAGAACTTCCTTGCTGGAAAATACTTCATCAATCAGGACCAGGCAAAAAAGCCTTCGTGGATTTCGTGGATTCTCGACCACCCAGTTTTTTTCTTCGATGGAGATTCATTGACTGATTCACATTGGCAAAAGTGTGCTGATTCAAACGGTGCTTATTTTGGTTAAATCCGATGAGTATTAAGAAAGTTATGATTGCTTAAAGGCAGAACCCGCGATTACTCGCCATCTCAGATGGTGGATTAGGGGGTTCCATATAGACGACAAGGGGTTGAGTAACTCGACTGTGAACAAAAAAGCACAAAAAACATGCCACCTGCCCTAGATAACCCCATTTCGATCCCAGTTTGTACGTGCCCAATCAACTCTATCTCCAAAACTACGCCCTCATATGCACAGCTGATTCACCGATAAGATTTCTACTATCGTACAAGTGACGATTATCATGCTTTTTCGTTCTGCAATCTCATTTTTCCACTGGAAGTCGGTCATTAGGGGCGGAGTCTGGAGGCGGAGTCACTGGAAAAAAAGCAGAGCCCACTTGAACCTATATGCCCTTACAGCGCCAGCCATGAATTTTTGCCGCGAAACCGTTACAAGGTTATTCGTCGCGAACCAATCTAACTTCCTGACGCCATACTTTCAACTTCGATACCTGATCGCGGACCGTGCCTTTAAAGTTAAACACTCAAAACGCTGAGAACTTTCCGGCCAACCTAATATCTACCCTTCTAATATTTCTATGAATACCTATGATTAAACGATGGGTATGGCGTACTCCCATGAGTTTGACGACCATGAACCTTTTTAATCTTTATCATCCACAGGAGTCGTATATCCCTAGTGGGTGAGTTCTAGAGGTTTTAAGGTCACAATGTGTGCATCACAAGTGGAAAATGTGGTCACGCTTCATCTGCGACGGTAAAACCTCTATCTCTGAGGCAACGTCGAGAACGGATGTTTTTCAGTATGTGCACTGCCCTTTCCACTCTAATAATGATGTACTTGATATAAACGTCAACAAACCAAATGAGAGTTGATGGAGTCCACACTGGGAGATAATTCTCAGAACTTAAGCGTGTCAAAACATTCCCCTCTGAAAATAGCCATTTTGAAACAGAGTTAAGCAACGTAAAAATGAGTTTGTACGTGAGGTGACATTGCGGTGTCAGGTCCTCCGGTGACCACCTCTAATAATCTACGGATCACGTCTCCATACAGTTTTCCAGAAATTCCAAAAAAATTTTCTCAAGAAACTTGTTGTCAAGCAAACGGAACGGGAGGATGTGACCAACCCCTGTCATTCCAAACATCAGGAATGGCGGTCCGCGCCACTTCATCTGGCCACAGGTAACAATTAGTTGCGGGATTACTGTCGAGTCGTAGACCCTCCCTCCTGATTCCCCGGAAATCAGGCAAGCTTCTTTCAGAAGGTCAGAAAGGGCCTTTCCAGTCCTACCTACTCCTTGATTTCTCAAGTATCCAACCGGATTTTTTGCAGAATTTCCGTAGAATTTTCCCACTTTTACGTCAGAAATTTCTGCTGTGACTCGGGAGGGGGGCGAGGATGCCGGGTGGGTGGGAGGGGAGGGATGGGAATGACTATAGTTTCACTTGAAATAGAAGAAACCATGAAAAGTTAGCGACCTCTCTCAGAGACCCAGATGGGAAATACGACCCTCCTCCAATAAGAAAAATGCGCTCCCCTGTCCACATGGTGCCTTAAACAAGAAAAATCAGCTAGAAAAAAAACTTTCAAAATCCGAATGAGACCCACCCTCTCCCAGGCGACCAAAGGTCCCAGCTCAGTTGGGAATCCCCAACCAACGACACGCCCTGCGGGGCCAACAACTAACGAAATGTGGACAGTTTATTAGGAAAAGATAGAGAAAAGGATACATCCGGAGAAAATTCTCTTGCTGCTCGGAAGAATTTTCTCAATGGCCAGGCATCCACCACAAACCTCTCCACGGCTCATACCCTTGGTGGGTTTTGCATAACGAGGCCGCACCTTATTTAAAAGCCTACTGGGAACGTCGCAGTGAGTGGAGTTCCGTGTCAGGGGGTGGCGAATGAGCTCGCGTTTGCTGCCAGGACAGTGGAAATCACTTTTACACTCTCATCCTTTCATTACGGATTTCTCCTGATAATTATTGAGCGCCGAATTACAGGACAATAGGGAACCAATTCCTCCCTACTGACTTCCATTTGGTCTCGAGAACGGATCTGAGTCGCGGTGGGTGG